GGCCCAGTTTGAGCAGGAAGAGTTTCCCTGTCAAAAAAACAGGGTGCGAGCTTCGAGGGGCACACTTTGATTGAGAAAAACAGCCTGCACCGGTGATGGGGGGATCCACAATCATATTTTGTCAGAAATGAGAGTTCCACAACAACAACAACAACAAAGTAAAAATCGCGTTCCCTTGAGCTCGGCCCATCCTCGGGGGAACCGCTGCCGGGCCCCCCAGGGCCACCACAAAAGGGAACTCGGGGCGTCGGGCATGTCCCTCTACAGGAGGAATATTCAAAATAGTCAAAAAAAATCGGGGGACGACTTTCGAGTATGTTTAAGCTATTTGGGAGCATGCTTTGAATATTTCCCAACCTGTTTCGTGGGGTTTTGGTTTTCTTCCCTGCCGCGGCGCACCCGCGTCTCCTCATCTCCCCCCTCCCCTTCTCCCACAGCACAGCACAGCACAGCACAGCACGGCACAGCACAGCACAGCTCACCGCACAGCAGCACAGCACAGCACAGCACAGTATAGCACACAGGGCATTCCTTCGACGCCAAAGGGGGTGCGCTGTGGGTGGGGGCCCTCTGCGTTGTAGGCTCCCAGGGCGTGGCAGGCGTGGCATTTCCTCGACGCCACGGGGGGTGCGCTGGGGGTGGGGGCCCACCGCGGTCTCTATTCGCGCCAATGTCGCAAGGCCTAGCAGGCGTGGCATTTCCTCGACACCGGAGGGGGTGCGCTGGGGGTGGGGGCCCACCGCGGTCTCTATACGCGCCAATGTCGCAGGGCCTAGCAGGAGTGGCATTTCCTCGACGCCACAGGGGGTGCGCTGGGGGGGGGGGGGCCCACCGCGGTCTCTATACGCGCCAATGTCGCAGGGCCTCGCAGGACTGGCATTTCCTCGACGCCACGGGGGGCGCGTTGGGGGGGGGGCCCACCGCGGTCTCTATACGCGCCAATGTCGCAGGGCCTAGCAGGCGTGGCGTTTCCTCGACGCCACAGGGGGTGCGCTGGGGGTAGGGGACCCACCTCGGTCTCTATACGCGCAAATGTCGCAGGGCCTAGCAGGCGTGGCACTTCCTCGACGCCACAGGGGGTGCGCTGGGGGTGGGGGCCCACCGCGGTCTCTATACGCGCCAATGTCGCAGGGCCTAGCAGGCGTGGCGTTTCCTCGACGCCACAGGGGGTGCGCTGGGGGTGGGGGCCCACCGATACGCGCCAATGTCGCAGGGCCTAGTAGGCGTGGCATTTCCTCGACACCGGAGGGGTGCGCTGCAGGCTCCCAGGGCATGGCAGGCGCGGCATTTCTTCGACGCCACAGGGGGTGCTCTGGGCGTGGGGGCCCTGTGCGCTGCAGGCTCCCAGGGCGTGGCAGGCGTGGCATTTCCTCGACGCCACAGGGGGCTTGACAGCAGAGAGGGTACGTAGGTAGCGTAGCAGCCTTGACATTTTCTGGAGTCTGTATCTTGGGCAGTATGCACCGGTGCCTCAGGCGTGTATGCGGCAGGAGTATTCTCAGCAATGTTAACTGTAGACACCTCGGCTCTAGCAGGCTCAAAGACAGCAGGCGCCCACAGGCATGCCCCCAAAATGTGCAGTGGCCGAAGTGCCACCTCCGTGCACCATTCTCTTGAACCGGATGGTCCAGGTTGGTTGGCTTGGTTGGCTCGTGTGGTTCGTCCGGCTGATTCTGGCTGCGGTTGTTGGCATGATTAATATGGTTGGTCTGGCGGGTCTGATTGATTGGCCTGGCTGGCTGGTCTGATTACTTTGGCTGGTTATGGCTGGAACGAACGATCTGGCTGGTTTGGTCAGTCTGGCTGGTCTGGCTGATCTGGCTGGTCTGGTCAGTCTCTCGTCAGGATGGCGAAGCGAGATGTGACATGGTTTGTGAACACACGTGACATAAAAGAAGTATGTGGGGTTCCTCGGTAGCGTAATTTTGATTTTCTCGTCCAACCTCCGCCTGTTGGAAGACACGCCCGACCTGACACTGCCTCCGGGAACGGAGGGTCGGGCAAACCCCGGGCCGCGCACTGCAGAGCTCAGGTCCGCGGACGGCAGGGCAGGTCCACGGGGGGGCGCCCCCCAAGACATGATCGCGTCGTTTAAGAAATCACGACGGGAGGAGGGGGTGGGGGAGGGGGAGGGGGGGGGAAGGGGGGGGGGGGGGGGGGGAGGGGGGAGGAGGAGGAGGGGGGGGAGGGTGAGGGGGGGGAGGGGGAGGAGTGAGTGGGGGGAGGAAAGGGGGGGAGGGGCATTTTCACGTTTTCGGGGCCCTCGCCAGATCTCGGGATCGTCAAAAAACGATTCAGGATGAGCAACCGGTCCCGGGGAAAGTGCCGGGATTCCTGGGACCGCGCATAGAAAAATCAGAGCGTCGCATGTCTGGGCCCGGAAGCTTCTGGAGGCCCAGAAAGTCGACGACACGCAAGAGTGATCCTGCGCCAGAGTGACTTGTGGTGCGGGCCCACAGGGGATCCCCCGAGCGCCAAACGCGGTGCGATTGTAGCATCTTGCGCGCCTGTGTTTGGTCCCCCCCGCGGCCCCAAAAATGCCGCGCACCAAAGGTCACTCTTACCCAGGGCCACTCCTGCGCGCAGCCGGGGGAGGCCCCCAGAGGACGATCTCGGAAGAGCCACGGTGCCGTCCATCAAGCAGTGGCGAAGCGTCTTGGCTCGCCTAGAGCCCTACCAAACAATGCTCTAAGAACCTTTTTATGGTATCCACGAAGTGTTCTTAGAACATTTCTGGCGGAGTCGGTCTTGTTTTATCACATCGGGTTTATGTTATAAGAACATTGTTTTCACTATTAGATCATTATTGGGTTCGAAGAACACTTCGTGGTAGGACTATATGCCGGGACGGTCGGTCCCTTCTCAAAGGATGAGGATGAGCGCTGGAGGCTACACGGGTGCTCGGGCCCAGCCGCCTGGGCTTTGCGTGAGCAGAGGCCTCCTAGATGGGGTCCGAATTGATGGGGTCGGAGGATCTCGCCGCATCGCCGATACGTCCGCGATGCACCGGCGATGCATCGGCGGTGCATCGGCCATGCACTGGCGACGTCGGCGATGCATCGGCGACGTCGGCGATGCCGGGACGGTCGGTCCCTGCTCAAGTCCAGGAGCTGCGGCCCTCCGTCGTCGACCGTCGCCCTCCCGCCTGGCGCCATCGAGAAGCGTCGGCCCGCGCTCCTCGCTTGCCGACCCCTCGCCGTGCCCAGAGATCCGACGTCGCGTTTTTCCTCAATGCACGCCGGTCGCTGAAAGCAGGTATTCTTGGACTCCCAGATCCCTATCTACTTCTAGCGCCTTCCTACTTCAAGAGTCGGCATGGTCTTGATGTGTGTGTTTTATTATCTGGGAGGGTCTGGAGCCAATCTACTGCATCCGCCGTCCTACTTCATGTTTTTACCTACTTCTTCCGACCGGCGTGTACGGGGCCCCCTGACATCCCGACCCTTTCCCCGGGGCCGTTCTCTCAGTCTGAGCCGTTGTTTGACGGTCCTGGGGCCCGACGAGGGCCTCCCGAAGCCGAGGCGGGCGGACAAGAATCCGCCCCGATCATCCCCGGACATCCGCGCGCGGGGCGCGAGCTTCCGACCCCGCGCGCTGGGGACCCCGGTGCGGGAGAGGCCTCCAGGAGGAGGAGGAGGAGGAGGGGGAGGGGGAGGAGGAGGAGGCAAGGAGGAGGAGGGAGGAGGAGGAGGATGATGAGGAGGAGGAGGAGGAGGAGGAGGAGGGGGAGGGAGGAGGATGAGGAGGAGGAGGAGGAGGAGGAGGAGGAGGAGGAGGAGGAGGAGGATGAGGAGGAGGGGAGGGGAGGAGGAGGATGAGGAGGAGGAGGAGGAGGAGGAGGAGGAAGAGGAGGAGGGGAGTAGGAGGAGGAGGAGGAGGAGGAGAGGGGAGGAGGAGGAGGAGGAAGGAGGAGAGGCCTCCAGTCTGGGCGGGTCGGCGGGCGGCGCTGCCCGCCCCCCTCGCCAGGAGCGCCGGGCGGCCGCCTGGCGGCCTCGGGCGACGGGGGGCCCGGACCCCCGTGGGGCAATGGAAAAAGCACGGCGGGAGGTCGCTCCATGTTTTCGGCCTCTGGACCCAGACATCCTCCTCCTCCTCCTCCTCTCCTCCCCTCCTCCTCCTCCTCCTCCTCCTCCTCCTCCTCCCCCTCCTCCTCATCGGTTCGGTGCTTCTCTCCTCCCCTTCGCCCTCTCTGATGCTTGTTGCTCGCGCGAGCACTGGCGGAAGGGGGGAATCCGTGATGGGGAAGCGGCGAAGGAGGGACCCAGACATCCGCCGATATGATTTTTCCAATCCGCGGCCCCAGAGGTCCCGACCCCTTCCCCCGGGAGTGGTTTCTCGTCCCGGATCCATTCTTGCTGGTCCCCGGGCCCGACACCTGGCCCCGGAGGCCGAACTCCAGGAAAAACCTCCAGATTGAAAAAATCATATCCTCGGATCTCTGGGCTTCGATGCGTGGATCGTTGGGCCCCGATCCGAGGCCCGGGGGCCGACCCGATACAGGTCGGCCCGATCCAGCCCGATCCCGGTCGCTCACGGGGCCGCCCCGCGACAGGCGGGGTGGAGGGGGGGTCCGGAGGGAAGAAAGCACACAGATACAAAGAATCGCCGACTCCCGCTGAACACATGAGACAGTGTGGGAAGTGTGGGGAGGGGGACGAAGATCCATGACATACGCATGACTAGGGGAACAAAAAGTGACATAAACATAAAAACTCGGAGGTCCGCGCGGATTTCTCGGATCGGCGCTGGACCCCCCTTCCTGTCGCGCGGAGCGCGCCAGGGGCGGCGCCGGAGGCGCCGCCGGGGGGCCCCAGCGCCGATCCGAGAAATCCGCGCGGACCTCCGAGTTTTTATGTTCATGTCACTAGTTCCCCGAATGACAAATCTGGGAAGTCCTGGGGCTTGTGTGTGTTCACCTGTGTGTCTCCCTGGGCCCCTTCAAGGGGGGGGGGGGCGGGGAGCGACGGGCGCGCGCGCGCCGCCGCGCCCGCGGCGGTCAGGCGGAGCGGCTTCCACCGCGAGATGGCGCCGGAGAGCGACGCGCGCCGCCCCCGGGGGGGACGCGGGGGGGTCAAGCAGTGGCGAAGCGTCCTGGCTCGCCTATAGCCCTACCAAACAATGTTCTAAAAACCTTTTGTGGTTTCCGCGAAATGTTCTTAGAACATTTCTGGCGGGGTCCGTCTTGTTTGATCACATCGGGCTTACGTTCTAAGAACATTGTTTTTGTTCTTAGAACATTTTTGGGTTCTAGGAACATTTCGTGGTAGGACTATAGGAAAGCCGGGACGGTCGGTCCCTGCTCAAGGGGGCGAGAGAGAATTCGGGGGTGGACAGACCTCCTGCCCTGACACGTCGATTAAGGAATTTGCCGTTTTCGGTTCGCGACAGGGCGCCGCGGCCGTCATCTTTGCAGGTCCAGGTCCGTCGGGTTCGGTCCCAGGCCGTTTTCATGAATGGGGAGGTTTACTAAAGGGAGGTTTGTCCACCGCCGGAGAAAGGGGGTGGGGGACAGGGAAGGGGGAGAGAGAAACGAGGAGGGAGGGAGGGAGGGAGGGAGGGAGGCGGAGGGAGGGAGGGCGGGAGGGGGAGGGAGAGGGAGGGAGGGAGGAGTGCACCACCATCTTGCTCCCGCCGGATCCGGAGAGGGACGCGCGCCGCAGCCGGGGGAGGGGGAGAGGCAGGAGGCAGGATCGGGCGTCGCTAGCAGTGCCCCTGGCCCCAAGGGGCGCCCCCAGGATTTTCAAAGAGCCCCCCACCGCAGAAAGCCTCCAGTGTGTAGTTTAATCAACTTTTGGGCGATCCCCGCCCTGCATAAATTGGGGGGTCGCCGAACACCGCTGTCCATAAACAAGGTCAGCTGGCCGTTTTACGTGCTCGTTTTTCGTAAGTCCTGGTGAGGGGAACTGGCGTCTGAGATTTCTGCGGGCGCGCTGCAAGCGTCACCAGTGTCACACATCGTCGCATACGCGCCACGCGTGTTGACACCAGCACATCACATTGCCTGCACCATTACCATCACGCATAGTAGCCATCAGTGCGTCGTGACAGACTGCCATCGTCCCCACATAGGCGCTCTAACATCGTCACATACCTCGGCCTATGGTTCAGGGCGCCGTCGCTAACATCACATCGTGCATGCAACGCCCGTGGCACATATAGGTTCAAACACGCTTGCAAAGTCCAGCTTCATGTGTGCCTGATTTCGAATTGTCATATGGACGACTTCGAGGGACATGAGGGACAAGAGAGTGCTCGTGGGGATGAGGGCGACACCGACCACCGCCCGAAGCGGAGAGGAGTGACTGACTCTGTTCGCAACTTCGGGCCACTGACGATCTTTATCATTTGTGCATGTGTAAATGGGTGGTGGTCTTTTCAGATCAGGTCTGCGCATGACGCCGACGCCGTCGGGGATCAAAGTGTTGGCCCCGTCCTCGGCCGCTGGAGGCTGCACGGGACACAGGGGCACGAGGGCAACGGAGAGTTAGACAAAGTGTTGCACGAGCTTGCCAAGAGCACGATCAGGACCGCCCTTCGCGGTTCACTGTTGTACGATGATGTCGAAGTTGCTGCATGTGATGAATGTATCCAACGTGGATGGTGCGATCGCCCCCGAAGTGTTTCTGCACGATAACAGTGGGAAGCACCTGGTACGCCATGAAGGTCAGTCGCGTTGCACACGTGGCAGGATCGCTGCTCGATGGAAGCTGTCGCTCAGTTGCGTGTACTCTGTTTGTCGATATCGCTCGGCAGGTTGTCGAAGGAGCAAGGTTGTTACTTCATGATGTGGCCATCCCGCCCCGCCATCCCGCCCCAATGCGTTGTTTTTTTCAAACGAAAGCGGTGCTTACCACACTGCCCACCCTCTAGCAGAGCGAAGGAAGTCCTCGGGGATGGGCCCATGGACAGACGGAGAGCCCCCCCGAGAGGAGCGCAAGCGTCGCCGCAAGAACACCAGACACACGCCTGCAGAGTTGGTGATTGAATGGCTGTCGGCGACGCGGTTTCTGAAGGACTACGAGGAAGCAGTTGAGGCAGCGCGCGCATTCGGAAAGAGATTGTCACGCGGCCCAGCGGCCCAGATGACAGAGCAGCGGCGATGGCGAGGCTCCAGAAACCGAAGCCAGAAGCGCTGCGGCTGGCCCGGGTTCATCTTGAGTTGCGCGCAATACTGATCATGCGAATGTTTTGGGTCGTCGGATTGGGCAAGGTGAACATTTATTTGCACGCAGACTCTTCGCCTCATTCGAGAGGGTGGGACATGATGGCAGCGACCTTCGCGTTGCACTTCAATGGGCGGCTGTTGCTCAACCGCCCGTCGCCGCCAGTTCGGATTGGTCGAGACTTCGTCGATGCAGGAGCGAAGACGCTGTCACTGCCCCGGCAAATCCCGCTGGCTACTGGGCGGGATCGGGCGCGTGATTTCACAGAGAGGGCGCGAGGGCTCGTCGCAGACATGGGGACTAAATTTGGAACCACGCACGCCAAAGACTACGTCGCACCCTCTGCGCGGTACTTGGGCGGGAATCCACCAGCAATTCGGGCCCGCGCTTTCCCGTTAGCCATGCAACTTCCAGGCTGGCATCACATGGTGGGCAATCTCATCTGGAGGGGGCGCGCGCGCGACGGTTCCCGCCATTCTTGGAGCGCCCCAAGGCCGCGGCAGCTTTTTTCCGAGACGAAGGCATGCAACAAGCCATCGGCCTTCAAGTCAAAGGCAGAGGATACCAAGGATTAGCAGACGTCATCGGGAGTTGTAGTTTTGCAGCATGGAGACGGGAAGCTTTGCGATGTCATGGAGGTCGTCAACGACACCTTCTGGCCCCGCGTGCCTCACTCGGATCGCCGGGGCGCCGGGAGCTACAGGGGCGCGACTGCGCTTCGGCTGATGGGGGGGGCTCTGCAACAGGGTGGAAGGTGGCAGCAGCATCTCAAAGAAATTCACCGTCGCGTTGAGTTGATGGCGAATGCGACGACGCTCGCAGGCGCGTGCCCTTGCAACCCAGAGGAGTCTGTGAACCCCAGCTTCGAGTGCGAACACAGGGGGCGCGCGTCGGGGGAGGCACCCAAGTCTGCGTCGGTCGCCTTCGATGATGCCCCAGAAGAAGCGAACGCAATGCCGCCGCATTTTTCCGAGAGCCGCAGCTCACACTGGATTGTCAAGGGTTCGCAAGAGCAACAGTGGCGCCCGGCCGCAGCAAAACCGCACACCTCGATGCGCTGTCATATCTTCTCAGTCAGATGGGGGGAAGGGGGGGGAGGGGGCAGGCGCGACCGCGAGGATATCGAGGCAGTGGGGCGATGCACCTGTCGAAGATCACGATGCTCAGGCCAGGGCGGCGTTGGAGCCAGGGGCGCAGTTGCGATCAGACTTTGACCTCATCGGGCCGAATGGCGAGAACGTGTCTGCCGCCCACGCAGAGGAGATAACTCGATGGCAACTGACGCCCATGGATGACGGCGAAGCAGAAAAAGCCCCTTGACACAGCAAGTCAGCTTCACCGAAAGAGCAGGAGCTCCAGACCCCCTTGGATGTCGAGCAGCACGGGGCTCGACAGTAATCTGGAGGACGTTCATAGATTGGGCAGCGCTGTCGGGGCTGACAGCGAGCAGGCTTCAGGTCGCCCAGTTTGCAAATCGCGCTGACTACAGGGGTCGACCGCGAAACATTTCGAGAACGCACCTTGGGAACATGGTCTACGGCACTGGTCATCTTGCTGGCATTGCAGAGCCACCAGAAGTAGGCGCCGCCGTTCTTGCGGGCGGCGGCCACGGCGACCACGGACGCCAGGGCGGGTCGAGAGGAGGGCGGCGGAAATCGTTCATTTGGCTTCGCGGCGCATGCCATTCACTTGCCTCCGTGGCCCACGGGGTTGACAAGTCTTCCTTTTGACGAGTATGAGCAGGAGGAGGGAGAGGGGGAAAGAGAGAAAGAGAGAAAGAGAGAAAGAGAGAAAGAGAGAAAGAGAGAAAGAGAGAAAGAGAGAAAGAGAGAGAGAGAGAGAGAGAGAGAGAGAGAGAGAGAGAGAGAGAGAGAGAGAGAAGAGAAGAGAAGAGAAGAGAAGAGAAGAGAAGAGAAGAGAAGAGAAGAGAAGAGAAGAGAAGAGAGAGGGAGCAGAGAGAGAGAGAGCGAGAGAGAGAGAGAGAGAGAGAGAGAGAGAGAAAACATAAATATATAAAAGGAGAGTAGGAGAGAGGGAGAGAGAGAAGGGAAGAGAGAGCGCGAGAGAGGAGAGAGAGAGAGAGGAGAGGAGAGGAGAGAGATGAGGAGAGAGCGAGGAAACAACATCAAACACAAAAAAGAGCAGGAGTGAGAGAGAAGAGAGAGAGAGAGAGAGAGAGAGAGAGAGAGAGAGAGAGAGAGAGAGAGAGAGATATAGAGAGAGAGAGAGAGAAAGAAAGAAAGAGAAAGAGAAAGAGAAAGAGAAAGAGAAAGAGAAAAAGAGAGAGAGAGAGAGAGAACACAAAAAAAAACAACTATTTATAAAGAAAGGAAGAAGAGAGAGGAAAAGAGAGGAGAGAGGAATAGAGAGAGAGAGAGAGTGAGAGAGAGAGAGAGGGAGAGAGAGAGAGAGAGAGAGAGAGAGAGAGAGAGAGAGAGGAGAGGAGAATGAGAAGGAGAGAGAGGAGAGGGAGGGAGGGAGGGAGAGAGAGAGAGAGAGAGAGATAAAGAATGAAAAAGAGAGAGAGGGTGAGAGGGTGGAGGGAGAAGAAAGATGACGGGGGAAGTGGATGACCGCGCCCCCCCCCCCGCCCCCACCCATCCCCGCTCCCAGGCGGCTACCCGCTGGACGTTCGAGTCGGCGGCCCCTCCAACAATGCTGCAGCAGGTTGCTTCTGTTTCACAAGTTTTGTTTGGTGGGCTCTGTCGTTGAGTTAGTGGTGGTCTTTTCCGCGGGCTCGGATTTGCGCCCCAGAAAAGGTCGAGGCAGGAGGCCAAGA